ACACACCATCTCGTAATCCAACTGTCATTCCTCAAACTCCGCCTGATCCGTCTCCGCAAACCCAATACACACCATCTCGTAATTCAACTGTCATTCTTCAATCTCCGCCTGATCCGTCTCCTCAAACCCAATACACACCATCTCGTAATTCAACTGTCATTCCTCAATCTCCGCCTGATCCGTCTCCTCAAACCCAATACACACCATCTCGTAATTCATCTGTCATTCCTCAATCTCCGCCTGATCCGTCTCCTCAATCCCAATACTCGCTGTCAAATTTTCCACATACTTCATTTAATCATTCTACATTCGTAGTAGAGGGGAGTGGTTTTGACATGAAAGATTATATTTTATTTAAATAAAAGTTACATTGCTTATAAATAAATGATGCTGTATGATTAAACCTTGTTTTTATTTACCTCCGTCAGTTATTAAATATACTTTGGAATGTACAATATCAAATGGGAGGGGGGGGGGGGCTGGGGGGGATAAATTAAGAGAACGTGAAAATTTAAAATAAATGGTATTATCAGCGCCAAAATGACAGAGATGGATTAAATACATCTAAGCATTTGATAAAAATCAAACTGAGCTCAAAGAAATTAGGGTGCAGTTTCAATTGTTTCGAAGAAACAATCAAAAGATTGACTTTTATAAAATGCTTAGATATATTTTAGCTTAAACTACTGTGCATCGACCTAGTACCTATAAGAATGGAACATTTTACCTTAGAGTTATCGAGAGTCTCTCTTCAGCTGAAATTGCTTTTCTCCAATTCGTATCTTGATAGGTAATATCCCGACCAACTAGTCGTAGTAAATTATCGAATGATTTTGTAGTCATTCTGTAATATCCTAAAAACTTTTTATTATATTCTCGCAGCTCTTGATATTTTATGTAGAAAAACTCTTTCATAGGTTTCAAGGCCGTAAATGGGTGAATCCAATGTTCATGACATCTTACGATAGGTTTGTCACGCCGCCGCCGCCGTAGTATCAGGTAAATAAAAAATTTTCTTTTATTAATTTTAGACGTTCGTCTCAATCGGGAACTGCATCGAACTGACAAAAATCGTACGAAATTTTATTCGCAGTGCGTAATAAGTGTAATTCCGATCACGGAATATAATACGCGAGAATAAAAATCGCGCGGTGAAATATCGCAGTGCGGACAGGGTGTAAGATTCAATGTGTTACAGAATTGCGAGAATAAAAACGTGCGGTGAAATATCGCATTGCGGACAGGGCGTTAGATTGACGTTTGTTTTGACATTTCCGTCCACATCCCACCACGTGACCTACATATTTATTTATCTAGGGTATGTTCCGAAATACAACGCAGTGTACTGTCCAATGCAAATGACGTCATGAATCGACGCTATACTGGTGATTCGTTCCAAAACATTGGAGTTGGACAGTATATGACGTCATACTTTTGCGCCATTTGGAAAAGTGTTGGCGATTATTTTGTCATTTTGTGCTCCAAAAATCATTATATCCACCTAATGGATATACCATCAATTATTCTATAATTTTTTGTATTTGAATAAATAGAAACAAATTCTGGCATGCTTCATTCGGCAAACACACAATTAATTTTTTTTTATTATGGCCGGATATCCGACACAATATGGCGGCGGCACGCTAGTACAATAAAGTGTCAAACTGTCAAATGATGATGTCATTTGCATTGGACAGTACACTGCGTTGTATTTCGGAACATACCGCTAACCCACAGAGTACCTTTGCGCTAACCGCTATGCACGTGACGCGGCAAGCGCCGCGGCCACCAGTGTTGCCGTTTTAGCCACTTTGTGGCTAGATCTAGCGGATTTTCAAAGGTTTTAGCCAAAAAAAAAATCAATTTTAGCCACCAAAACGAATCTAGCTACTTCTAACTACTTCTGGTAATTTTTGTTAGCTACTAAGTTCTTTTAAAGAAACATGTGGTTACCGCCTTTTGCTGAGAAGGCAACACTACCGCGGTCCGCTCACTCTCCGCGCCGCAGGTGTAATCTATGATCGGGGTTTCCCCAACTCCACTCATATAGTACCGAAAGTCGAAACGATAGATCGCATTGTTCTTGTTTAGCCGTAGCCTCTCACGCGTGGATAGTTCTTACATTTTTCATTTTTGTTAAGTTTTAAAGGTGAATTGAGAGTCTTGAGTTCTTGGAAAGTTATTGGAAATATCATGGATGTTCCTCTCAAGAAAAAGAGCTACATTCAAAAATATAGGACTGAATGGGAGAATGACGAAGACTTTAAACAGTGGATAAAGCCAATAGCGGATAGTCCAACGAAAGCCTTTTGCAAGTATTGTCATGTAGAAATTGCTGCCAAAATTTATGATTTACGTAAGCACAGAGAATCTAAAAAACACAAAGCAAAATGTGAATTAATCACAAAAAATAAACAGATCCAGTTTACCTCTACACCTGATGATGGTTCAAAGAACAGTCAAAAAGCTGAAGGCCAGCTTGCCTTGTTCATTGCTGAACATACTTCCATATCCAACACTGACCACCTTACAGACCTTTGTAAAGAAGTTTTTCATGATTCAAAGTGTGCCAAAGATATAAAAATGCATAGAACTAAATGTACGCAAGTTATAAATCAAGTGCTGGCGCCGCATTTTAAGGATACTCTTCTAAAAGATATTGGCACGCAGAAATATAGTATTATTTTAGATGAATCTACGGATGTTAGCGTCTCAAAATACATGGGAATAATAATACGATATTTTAGCCTGAATACGAATAATATTGTGTCATCATTTCTGTCTCTGGAGCCTATTGAAAGAGCTGATGCGAGAGGTATTGTCACATCTTTAGTAAAATGTTTGGAGTCACAAAGTCTTCCAATACAAAATTTGATTGGGATCGGCACCGACAATGCCTCGGTCATGACGGGCCGAAATAACAGCGTAATTGAAATTTTGAAGAGAGAATATAATTTACCAAATTTGATCCTCATTAGATGCATCTGCCACTCTTTGCAATTGGCGGTCAGCCATGCGTCTGAAAGCAATCTGCCACGTAACATAGAATTTCTGATAAGAGAGACGTACAACTGGTTCTCCATTTCTCCAAAACGCCGAGACGAATATAAAGCGCTGTTTCAAACAATTAACTGCGGGGATGAACCATTAAAAATATTAAAGGTTTGTGACACCCGTTGGTTATCAATAGAGCCTGCTGTGTTGAGAATATTGGCACAATGGAACGAGTTAAAACTACATTTTTCTTTGGCCAGAGAGAAGTGCTATACAGCGGGACTTCTTTGGGAAATGTACAATGACGAGGGTAATCGTCTTTACTTATGTTTTTTGAAAAGTATTCTTCACGACGTTCAAATTGGCATTAAGGTATTTGAAGGTGAAAATATTGATCCTGTCAAACTGTTAGAAACTCTGATGACCTTGTTACGATCTGTCTGCGTTAGAATAATAATACCAGGCGCCGCGACAACAGACAAAGATTTCCTCACTATCAAAGTAGAAGATCATCTAGATCCAGTTGCACATTTGGGACATCTTTTCGAATCTCATGCCAGTAATAGCAACTTATCTCCGCAAGCAATTTCTAATATCAAAAAACGATGCATCGACTTCAGTGTCAAGTTGGTACAAGAAATTCAGAACAGAATACCTTCTAATTACGAGATCCTAGCAAAAGTAACACTCTTAAGTCCAGAGAACACATTAAAACAGATCAAGGATCCTCATGCACTGGTTGGATTAGCAAGAGAATTGGGATTCGATGACCAAAAGACAGATAAAATTGTTCAACAATGGAAAACTATACAATTCATAGAATGGGAAACTGCAGGAGACAGTGTTAAATTCTGGGCGCAAGTCTTAAAATACAAGAATGCAGCAGGAGTTAATACATTTCGAGAACTAGCTGACTTGGCTATTGCTGCAATGTCCCTTCCTCACTCTAATGCGGAAGTAGAAAGGCTGTTCAGCGTGATGAACACTGTAAAAAATAAATTGAGAAATAGAATGTGTTCATTGACACTCAATTCTATAATAATGATTAGAAATCAATTAAAAATAAAGAAGAAAAATTGTCACAACTATGTTTTACCGCCTGAGGTTTTAAAAAAAATTAAAAAAAACTGTCAAACCTTTAAAACAAATCGTAACACCATCTACATCATCATCACCCATTGACGAAGAGGTTATAGAATTACCAGATGACATTGCAGACCTACAAATTGATTATTAATTTTTATTTTTTTTCAAATAATTTAATTAGTTACTAAATTTTAATTGTAGATACGTACAAACATTATTGTTAGTTTTAATAAATACTTAATTAACTTAAGTATATTAGATCCGGTTTTAATTAAACCCACTTATCCCTAACCTTGTATATTATTTAATTATCAATATAGAATATTAAAGTAGGCAAAGGATATTATGATATTAGCCACTTCTAGCTACTTTTAGATTACGATTTTTTTTAAAAGCTGGCCACTTTTTTATTCTATTTAGCCACAAACTAGATTGTCCAAACGGCAACACTGGCGGCCACCGGTATATAGTCAGTAATCTATGCACCGGCCATTACACGACGACAGCATACAGTTAAATATGTAAAAAATTCAAGGGTTATGTACAAGAACTTATATAATAATAAGTTACATGTGTGTTACTTTTTATTATATATGTGTTATGGAGTGGAGACCGCGTCTAGACAAACGTAGTGTGGGACGCCTCTGACCAGATGGAGCGAAGATCTGCGCAAGGTTGCTGATAGAAACTGAATGCGTGTGGCCGAAGATCGTGGCGCGCCTTGTGAGAGGCCTATTTCCAGCAGTGGACTGCTGCAAGCTGATGATGATGATGTGTGCTACCGACACATTGAGCTACGATTTGTTAAAAAGAAAAAAGAAAACCCTTATCCCGAATAAATCTGGTATTCACCAGGATCTAAGATCAAAGTAACTGCCCTACCAGGATGCATATCTCACGTTGTTACAGAATCTGAGATCATGACCGGTCAGTAATTTTTCTAAATTTATTTTTTCTTAATTCATTATTCCTATAAATATACATCCTATGAAAGCCTACTGCTGACTGCAGGCATCCCCCATAGATTGCCACGTAGGGAAGATTTTGTCATAGTTGCCGCATGAGTAGTATATATGCCTTGGTTTTCAAACTTGGCAGGCGAGTTGATTATCATTTTCCATTAATTTTATTAATATGAACACCAGTAATGTCATATATTAAACATATTGTACATACTGTAGCCTAAAAACTATTACAATGCAAAATGTGAAAGTTATGGTGACAATATATAAGTGTCACTACAAGTATAAACTAGGTGAAGAAAAAAAATGGCGAACGGTCAAGTGGTACTTGTGAGTGCTTTTCGGTATTTGGTTAATTTTCCTTAATTCCTTCATTTTGTGGTGGTGGATTCCTCTGTTGTAAGTAGATTACGTTTATAAGATATAGTTATTTCGAACAATACACTCAATTATGGGTGACGAAACGGGGTCTCCCCGTGAGAAACCCCCTGACCCTCCCGATGTAGACATGTGCTTTAGATTAAGTGATAATAATGATTGTGATCGTGGTAAAAAAAGACATGCTGAGACTCGAACATATGATCCAATATTATATAAAAAGAATTCTGTAGTTGATTTAACAGCATCAATAAATACTATATATAAACATCCCTGCCTAGAACAAAATCTTAGAATGTATGGGCCAAATGATCAAGGCCCTTTCATTGTCCACATCTCCCGGTTTTCGTCAGACCCTAGATTAGGGCTATCACTTCGACCTATTAAAATAGGTTTATGCTTGTCTAAAAATAATATAGGAAACATTAAAAAAGGAGGAGTCAAAAGTGTTGGTAGAAATCGCATCTCTATTGAATTCTGCTCAGCAGATAAGGCTAACAAATTCCTTAATAATTCATTGCTCGCAAAAGAAAAATTGATTGCAACTATTCCATCTTATAATGTTTCTTGAATGGGTGTCATCCGCGGTGTCCCTGTGGATTGGTCAATGGAAGAACTTGCAGAAGCTATTGAGCTTCCCCCCTGGTTGTGGTAAAATCCTAAAAGCTCGCCGTCTTCAGAGAAAAACTTTTACTGAAGGGTCATCATCCCCTATATGGGTTCCTACTCATTCTATTGTTTTGACATTTGAAGGCCAGATACTCCCCAAATACGTATATGCATTCTTCACATCCCTTACTGTTGAAACTTATCAACTCCCCACCATCCAGTGCAAACAGTGTTGTCGATTTGGCCACGTAGCTGATCAATGCCGCTCCAAACCACGCTGCTTCCGTTGTGCCCAAGAACATACTGGAGCAAGTTGTTCTGTTCCTGAAAGCGAAGCCACTTGTCTGTTATGCTCCAAAAATCACTTTGCTAATAATAAAAATTGTCCAGAACACCATAGACAGAAATCTATCAAAGTTATGATGTCAGAACAAAATGTATCCTATATAGAAGCGTCAGCCAAAATCCCATCTATTCGTTTGAACAATCTTCAAAAACCATATTCTGAAGTGGCCTCTACTCAGCCTTCACCTACTTCTACTACCTCCTTCAACCTCCCCATCATGTCACAGGCATATAGAAAAACCGTTTTCCAATCTCCCCGCCCCATCCCTAGAATCCCCAAGGGATATGACCAACAAGCCCATCAAAGAATAGTTGCAGACTGTCCATCCTCTACTCCAAATGGATGCGCATTATCCAATACACACAATCAAATATCTCCAAATGAAAATCTTGTTGAATGCCTAATTTCTCTCCTCAATAATTTAATTTTGAAAATGTCAGACTCACTACCGAACAACGTTGCGGAAAAAATTTTTAATCTCGCTAGTTTAATAGATAATATAAATGACTCAAACAAAAGACCTCCATCTTCTACAGTGGAACTGTAGAAGCTTGCACCCTAAAAAATCAGAACTCATCTTCCTAATAAATAAATATTCAATCTCGATTGCTTCTATTTCTGAAACATGGTTCCTTCCTGGCTCCAAATTTCGCTTGCAAGGCTTTACCTGCCTCCGTGAAGATAGAAATGATGGTTATGGTGGTTGTTGCTTACTCATAAAAAAATCGCTACCTTTTTCTCAAATTACACTCCCTTCTCATAGCCAAAACATCAATGCTGTAGCTGCAAAAATTGCAGGAATCAACATTATTTCAATATATATCCCTCATCCAAATACTCACTTAATTCAAGAACTATCCTCTCTCTTTTCTTTGTTACCTCCCCCTTTTATTATTACCGGTGATTTTAATTCACATCATGTATCTTGGGGGTCACATTTTTGTGATTATTCTCTTCAGAACTTATTCAAATTTTTGAAGATATCAATGCTTGCATCATTAACAATGGTTCCCCTACTCATAGAGTATATCCAGGACTAGACCCTAGGTCTGCTGTCGACCTAACAGCTTGCTCTTCTAGTCTAGCCCCTCAGCTTTCTTGGAAAACTCTCAATCAAACATATGGAAGTGATCACTTTCCCATTCTTATTACCAAACCCTATGCGGTTATTCCTTTTCCCTCCACTACGCCCCTCCTTAAATATAAGCTCCAAAATGCAGATTGGACTAATTTCACTAAATTCTTAGATTCTAAATTTACCCAAATGCAGGTTGACTCCTCAACCAACCCAATAACTTCTTACTCTTTATTGGTACAATATATAACTGAAGCAGCTGACTTATTTATCCCAATCAAAAAACCCTACAGCAAGAACCTTGCCTCCCCTCCATGGTGGGATGCTGAATGCACCACTATGATTAAAAGGAGAAAAGCTGCAGAAAAACTTTACAATCACTGTATGACAACCAATAATTTTATACTATTTCAAAAAACCTCTGCTCAAACAAGGAGACTTCTTTCCAAAAAGAAAAAAAGTGGATGGAAAAAATTTTGTGAATCCTTGTCCCCTAATACACCAGTAACAATAGTTTGGAAAAATATAAAAAAAAATTCGTGAATCTCTTACTTCTGATAGCAACATTTCTGATAACTCTCTATCATGGTTAGAAGTCTTCTCTGATATGCTAGCTCCTCCTTTTGTTCCTAATCAAAATGCAATATGTCCACCGATTCCAGTCCCGTCTAGCATCAACAATAATGAGTTAATCTTCTCATTGTCTGAACTACAGTCTGTGTTATCTGGCTTAAAATCCTCTGCTCCAGGAGAAGATGGCATACCCTATGCATGTTTATGTAAATTAAGTCTTTTCTTCTCCAAATTCTGAACAATATCTACATATCTTCTAATATTCCTCTGTCATGGTCAAACCAAATTGTTATACCTATCCTTAAACCCGGAAAAGATCCCAAAGAAGCTTCTTCATACCGCCCAATTGCTCTTTCATCTACTTTTTGTAAAATTTTAGAACATTTAATTAAAAACAGACTTGAATGGTTTTTGGAACATAATAACATCCTTGCAAAAAGTCAATTTGGTTTTCGAAAAGGGAAAAGCACATTAGATAGTTTGAGTATCCTAACTACAGATATTAGGTTGGCTTTTTCTAAAAATGAATACTTGGTGTGTTGTTTCCTTGATATATCATCTGCCTATGACAGTGTTCTCCTTCCGGTGCTCAGGCAGAAAATGCTCCATCTAAACATCCCTACGAAGACTGTTCACTTCATTTACAATCTATTCATGGGACGATCTATCAAAATTCGCAATAAAGGAATCTTAACCTCGCCCAGAACAATTTGGAAGGGTCTACCACAGGGCTCAGTTTTAAGCCCTATTCTTTACAATATTTACACATATGACCTGGAACATTCAATTTCGTCTTTCTGTGACATATTACAATATGCAGATGATCTTGCTATCTATGTAACGGCTCCTGATATTCTAACGGCCTCCCATCATCTTAACAGAGGATTACATTATCTTAATCAATGGCTTACTGACCATGGCCTCTCTCTTTCACCTTCTAAAAGCAAAATAATAACATTTAGTAGAAAACGTGTTATCCCTACTATTGATATCTCATATAATGGTGAATCTATTCCAGTTGTTAACAAAGTAAAATTTTTAGGTATTTACTTAGATTGTCATATGACCGGTACTGCTCACTTTAATTACATCAGTGACAAATGTGAAAAAGGTGTTAACATTCTTAGATCTCTCTCTGGCGTATGGTGGGGTTCTCACCCCATGTGTCAAAAATCCTATACAATGCCATCATCCGTAGTCACTTCGACTATGGTTCTTTTCTCCTGGAGCCCTGCAACAAATCGGCCCTTAGTAGGCTTGAAGCTATCCAAACAAGATGTTTACGTGTTATCACAGGCACAATGAAATCAACTCCTAAAAATGCCTTACAAGTAGAATGTGTTGATCCCCCTCTCTCTTTACGAAGACAGTTTCTAGCTGATAGATTTATCTCAAAAACTCCAACTATCATCTCACCCCTTACATCGTAAACTAGAATCCTTGCTACTATTAGTTGTAAACAACTCCTATTGGTCTAATAAAAGCTGGCCACCTATTCTTAAATCTCTTAATAGATTAAAAAATATTGAGTATCCTTGTGTTACATCCCCAATTCTACCCTATTTTGAAACCTGCTATGATGCTATATTACTAAATCCTAAAATCACTCTGAATTTAAACATTAATAAAAATTCTCCAACTGCAAACAGAACTTTCTATAACCTAGTGGCAAAAAAATGGCCTGATTGGCTATATATTTTTACTGTTGCTTCCAAATTGCCTTCATTCAAATGTGTCGGTTCTGCAGTCTGGATTCCCAAATATAAAATTGTCCTTAACTATAGATGCCCTCCTCAGGCTTCTGTTTTCACAGGGGAAGCTGTAGCCATATATGAGGCTATATCCTACATTTTTTCCCATAAAATTCCTAAATCAGTTTTATTTACTGATTCTAAAAAAACTGCCTAATGTCGTTACAGAGCAATATATCTAAAATGAAATCCATCTCCCCATTGATACTGAAAATTAAAGAACTCATACTAAATTGTAATAAGAGTGGGCTTGAGGTAGAGATCCTAGTCATCGTGGCATAGAAGGAAATGAACAGGCTGACTCCTGGGCCAAAGGAGCGGTAGATACTGGCTGCCCTTCTCATTTAATGAATTACTCTCATGATTTAATATCATTAGCTCAAATTGAATTAAAGAATTCTTGGGACAGAGATTGGAGCATATCCAGACATAGTAAAGGTAGCTACTTTGGTAAAATCCAACTCCAAATTCCTCCAAAACCTTGGTTTTTCAAATTTAGGTTTCTGAACAAACAAATCACATCTACAATCTGTCGTTTAAGGCTCGGGCATGTCTGCACTCCTGTATTCCTAGCTAAAATTAGAATCAAAGATCATTCCCTCTGTGAATGTGGTCTGGATGAAGGTTCCCCAGACCACATTTTCTTCAGTTGTCAAAATCACCCAATTTCTTTATATGACATCCTTCCCAAAACAATCCCTCGACCAGTTAATATCAATTCCCTCTTAACTATCCCCAATTCCATATATGTTAATACAATCTCAAAATATATTCGAATGTATAATATTAAAGTATAATTATTGTGTACTAAATTTAGCTTGACCTAATTCTATATTCCCTGCCCAGGCTAATACCCTCCTTTAACTAGATTTTTACTCTATATTGTGTGGTCCTCAATTCATATATTTAGTTGCTTTGTTTTTATCCACATTCTCACCTAAAAACCACTAACTCCTTTTCCACCGGAAAGCCTCAAGACAAGGTGTGACAGACCGAAGACCGGACATTGGCAGAATTATTGTGACATTATCACAATACCAAGGGCCATATAGTTATTAAAAAAAAAAGTATAAACTATCATTTATATTTGTACCTAAATACTGTCCAAATAAATATCACAAAAGAAAAAATTGGTAATTCCACAGCATGTATTTTACAGTACTAAATTATAATTTACTTGGTTATGTACATTACAAATTTATACCTACTTTGCTTTCAAGCATATCACCCTGATTTTATTGTGTAAAAAGTTGGCATGTCTCAGAAGTCTTTATTTCAAATGAAAATATTTGAAAGTGTTAAACTAATTTTAAATTTGCCGCCTTTTCTTAGCCGATGTTTAACTGACCTATGACAATCAATGGTCAATGTAGTCTATGACAGCTCTATAAAATAATAAACTCTCTCTATTATTCTATGGTACAACGAGCGTGGTTTGATTTCTCTAAATTCCTATAAATAAAATCAAAGTCAACAGAAAGACTATATGTATAATCAATTAATTTATATGATTATCTGATCTTATCTGTTTTCTTTTATAAATTAAAAAAAAACTCCATATTAATAACTAAAAAAACACAAAACTAGTTAGTAACATATCCCTTCTTTTAGTCCCAAAACATTTGGTGTTTCTTGTTTAATAGATGTTATCTATAAATAGAAAAGAACAAGTCTTATTATCATTAACAGTGGTGAATATTTTCTGATATAGTGCCTGTATAATGAAACAGTTATAAGTAGACTTTTTTATCTTTATTTTCCTTTTTTTTAAAAGGCAATATAGACCAGCTACACTAAGATGTCTTGTTATTAATAATATATTAAGGATCCTGCTTTTAATATAATTGTTTTATTTTCAGAATATGTTGATTTGACCATTGACCACTCTTATTCCCAAAAGAAAAAACATGGTTTACATGTAAAGCACATTTGTGCTCAAACAATGGACAGCAGCTCCCAGTTTCACCAGAATATATTAGAAGGTAAAACTTCTCTCCAAAATCTAAATTCTCTATAATATTTGTATTTAATAACTTATTTTATCTGTACTTTTTCAAATTTGCAATGCCTAAAAAAAGAATACTAAGTTGAGACAAATTGTTATTATTATAAGACCATTTATGTACACGTGGTTGGCAAATAAAAGTTGATTGATTGATTGACTAACATCATGTGTTGTAGTCATATACCATATGAAGATTTATTATGGTGGTAGTATGAATGGATCAACTCGACTAGGGTAGAACCACCATCTCACAAAATACCCGTGTAAAATAGCAGCCTAATGCTGCTGTGTTTTGCATGATAAGTGTAGACATCTGGAGACTTTTTACTGGAAACAAGGCATTCCATATTAGTTCCATCAAAAGAGGTGAATTTCTGGCAGTTGACTTTAACATCTGATGAAGAATACAAATACAACATGTTGAATAAAACTTATAATGGTCATAGGTGTTATGGGTGCTGCATAGCACTGAAAATATCGGAAGTTAAAAGTAAGAATGTTAAATGGGATAATATCTGTATAAGTTTTATAAAAACTTGTTTTACTTTTAGTGGTTTTGTTTCCTTTTATTCTACTGTTAACGAAACTTACTTTATCATCATCATGACAGCCATTTATAAGTCCATAGTTGAACGTTGGCCACCCCCAAGGAATACCACAAAGCACAGTCCTGAGCCACCAGCATCTATCGACTTCCAGTATATCTTACCAGATTGTCACCCCATCTACTGGGGAGCTGCCCTACACTTTGGCTACCAGCACAAGGCTGCCACTTGAGAACCTTTTTTCTCCATTGGCTGTCGGTTCTTCGAGCTATATTGATGGTCCATTGCCACTTCAGATTATTAATCCGCTATGTCACTTACTTGGGTTCTACTGCAAATACCCTCATTTCTAAGTTTATCATGTGGTAAATCCCTGAGCACAGCTCACTCCATAGCACTCTAAGCAACCTTGAGCTTCCTTATATGTCCAGCAGTAAACCACATCTCAGAACTATATGTCATCACTGTCAATGCATACAAGTATAACTTTGTAGTTGCAATCGGTAAATAATGCAATACCTTATATACCCACTATTGTAATGTGCCTCATTAATATGTCATTTTTATTTATAAGTATTCTGATGCCCATGATGCCATCTAATTTATAAAATATTAAAATGATGGAGGTTGACACCTCAAAATTTTTTGACAGAAAGTATATTCAGTCAAATAAATATATGAAGATATATTTATTTGACTGAATATTTTGTGTGCTATACTCAATGACTTTTATTAGATACAGATTTAGTGTTTGAAGTCAATGATGCTTTATGATTCCTTATATTTACTCGAACACTACACATTGAATAAAACTACTTGTACAGAACTTATCGCATTAAAGTTAGTTGATTTTAATTCCCAACGTTTCAGGTGACTGAGGTGATTGACATCCCAATGTCAGTGTTACCTGGAGTACGTTCAGCTATTAAAAACTGGAAAGCACCCATAATTCAATTAAAATCAACTAAATGAAACGCTATAAAATCTGTAAAAGTAGTTATGTTAAATGATACATTTTAACCTTACATTTGCATAATAATTTTACAATGTCTAAAGACATAAGATGGCATTTCGACTTTTAATAAATTGTTTTATTGCACTTGACATAACTAGTAGCAGTGTCACTAAATGGTGTGTGACTGACTTGACCAAACTCCTGACAATTCTCTTTCAAATGCATGATAATTTTAGGCGCATATTATGAATCTACAAAGTGAGATTTTTTTAGTCAGATTAGAATATTACCCCATATCTAATTCATGCAAATCTGATGGTAACTGAGGAAAGAGTATTTATATTTGATCTATTTTCAGTATTCATGATAATAATATATATTTTGATACATGCAGAAATGCCCATGCCATCTACTTCTGGAAATAAGGAGGATTGACACAATGAATGTCAATATAGGAAAATATTCATTTATACTTTTCTCACATCTTTTTCTTATTATACAAACAACAAATTAAAGTAGCCATCAAAATACACCTATCTATATTATCCTGTGTTATAGATTTTCGACAGATTGTGATATCTAAAAATATAGCCATGTCTAAACTGGCTACCGAAAAAGTAGAATGTGAATGCTAATCTGCCTAGTACAATAGTAGATTGTTTACAAGCTGATGTGAAGTCAAACAATTGAACTATTTTATTAATTCAATTGTAATTCTCATTTTTTATGTTGGATTTTATTTTATGAATAACTTATATGTGACCATTGAAAAATTAACCCTTAGTGACTGTATCTAAAAAGGACCTTTGCAATTCTCACGCGATGTTACTTTTTTAAATAAATTTTATTTTTGTTGCAGGTTTAAAACTGCCTAAAAGGAGCACTCAGCTATTAAATAGTTTAAGCTTTGAATATTGCTGCATATTTGGTAAATGGGGGAGCAACAAGCACAAACCATAAATAATACAAGGAGAAATATTTGAGAAAAGTTGTTACATCAATTGAATTGAATATGTGACCTATATGCAAAGAACCATCAGCTCCTTCGATAAAAAATTTGATTGTAATTATAGTGGTTTCAATGGCTGTGGCAATATTTAAAAGAAATTGATGTTTTGCGCCTAGAAGTAAAGAATTTGCTTTCACTTGTAAATTTACACTGAAATGGTAAAATAAAAGACTTAATAAATATTTCTGTATTTTATTTCTTTATATCTAAATAAACGTTAATAATGGTTTAAATTTATGTACGTGGTCACATTGTGAACACGTACATAAGTTTAAACCAATAATGATAAATTTTCAAAGTTCTGGGAGGATTATTTACAGCCACTGGCTACTAGGCTGAAAAAAATAAATACCTTTGCCTTAGATAAATTAAAAACCTAAATGTCACTTTCAATTTTTGAGGCTTGCTATAGACCAATTTTTTACTATGGAAGATTGTCGTCTGTACGTTATTGTCCGTTCATCGTAACTTGACGCGTGATCCGATTGGTAGCCCTGTAATTTACAGTGTTGCATGTTTCAATGCGAATTGCGTTCCCGAAATGTAGGGACAGGAATTATGGAACGGGATATAAGAGCATGTATGCATGCATCTCAAGCACGAGGTTGCAGGTTCAAACTTGGCATGTAAAGTTGAACGTGATATGGGGACAGTTACAAAACATTATGACCATGTGATTTAATAAATTTTTCAGCTTTATACATGGGTTTTATTTTTTTTATTAATTCATATAAAACATTTTTGGCAAATTTGGTGAAAACAACAGTCCCTTGTTTTGAAGCCACTCTACCATATCTACTTTGAGGCTTGCCATATTAGGGCTTTTATATGTTTGAACAGTGTGATATGGTGCATAGTCCATCACAATCACACAATTACGTGGCAGGTTTGGTAAAACAGTCGTTATGGTAGTCTGATGATTTAGTTTGTGACTTGAATAGCAGTAACTCAGACTTAAGAATAATGCATAAATGTTTAATCTAAGTAGACTATAGTCCGCCTCTCTTCTCGATATTCTTTCAATTTTATTCAAGTAATTAAATCGCCAGGCAGATATATATGTTCGTTTTACTAAATTTTTTCGTTTTGATTTACACTTTTTGTATTTATATCCTAGTCGTTTTAACATTTTCCATAGTGTAGTACACACACCTTTAAAATTTATTTCATATCGCAATTCGACAAGTAATTTGTTCAACGTAGGAATTTCTTTTCGTACAGTTATCGCGTGAAATATATATATATATATATATATATATATATATATATATATATATATATATATATATATATATTTCTTCACATACAATTATTTTAATATCATTTAGCATTTTACAAACTGTTGTTAGTCTAAATCTTTGTAACTGGTCACCCTAAAAATATACCGGTCATGGCGGCAATTCGGGCACGAACATGTTGCAATGGCAAAAATCAGCTTGTTTTCAGCCTTTTCTTTTTACAAAAATGCATAAACTTGAAGAATAGTTTGTCGTTTAGCAAATTTAACCACTTTCAGCATTTTTAAAACTAAGATTACATAATTAAGAAGCAAAAGAGCACACAGATAGCAACCGATCAAGTTCAAAGAAAAATGACGGCTAAGGAAACAGTGCTACCAATCACTCACGCGTCAAGTTAAGATGAACGGACAATAGTACTCTTATTAGTTTGTGCTGTACGACTATGCTGTATGATATATTACTTTCCTCTATGTAGTTTCAGTTTCGTAGACAGAGAAACCTATTCTCTGTCTACGTTCAGTTTATACAAAGGTACTCTGTGTCTACGTAGTAAGCTATGTTGCGCCATGTAGCCATGCTGCCACTAGTTATTCTGTATAAAAAAGTACTCTGTGTTATTCTGTGAGACCAGTAATTTTTTTTAATTTCATTTAACAAGATTTACGGCTCTGGGTTCTAACCCTTCTGAGCCTATCATTAGGGTTATACACCCATTTTCAAAAAGTGCTTTAAATGAATCCTAAAGGGATAATTTACCACTTTATTTTTTATATAATTTTTTAAAACCGAAATGTGCCAAAAATCTTAATCTATCGTTTTCAATTTTCGCGTGAAAACGCTAGCCGCCATGCTGATCAACTCGTGACGTCACTGTCCTTGATTTCACCGATTTTGCAAAGAAATAAGATACTTTTTAATGTTTAAAGTAAAGTAAAGTTACAGCCTATATACGTCTCACTGCTGGACACAGGCCTCCTCTCATTTCTGAGAGGGTTTTAGGGCAAGGAATAGTACGCCGCGCTGCCCCAATGCGTGTTGGCAAACTTAACACGTCTTCGAAATATTTTTTATCTTATTCCTTAGACATGCAGGTTTCCTCACGATGTTTTCCTTCACTGCCGAGCACGTGGTAAATCAGCACTTAAAATTGCAATTAACAATTTCATTGGTGCCGGCGGGGATCGAACCCGGTTTGCTCGCGTATTGTGAAATTTATAGCGAGCGCTAACCATCTGAGCTACCACGGCTCTAATGTTTAATAATGAAAACTCTAATCTTTAATGTTTAATAATGAGTTATCATCCAAATCATTGTTGAGTTGTACCTGAATGCAAAAATACGAGCATAAGAACGCCAGGAAAGTTATGGATTCAAGTGCCAAGTATTTAAATATACGAAATACTTGATTAAAACTGTCAAGAAAATATCTAACACATTGTCTATAAAAACTAGACTATTCTTACGTGAGGATCATTTGATGTGAGTATGACATATATTTAACTATCATTTAATACAAAACAAAACATCATGCGGTGAAGAGTATCCCTAGTCAAATTTTGTAATAAATTACGTTAACTTAGATATATAACTAATGATTGCTAATGATTGTAATTATAGATAAACTAAACTATGATAGCTACTAAACTATGTTTTATCAAAATACACTCAGGCCTGGTATTGAGTTTTTGTATAAACAAAAGTTGGTAATAGTTACTTACATTGATATTTAAACATGCCTAAACTCAGCAGAACAAAAATTGGAATTGCATTTTGCTAACATCAATTTATTTATCCTTGATAGATAGGTACTTTCTGCTTTTACGAATTCGTCTTTCGTGATGCCTTTTCAATAAAATTCGGAAAAAACCCAATAATCGTAATGATAACTTAAAAAAATTCGAAATAACACAGCACATTAGCTATAGTATGTGCCAAATCAATTGAGAAAAACGGACAACGACCTTTCGGTCGTTTAACCAGGGGTACAAACCTTCAATATATAGGCACATTTTATATGTAGTACCTTTCTTATTTATAATGATTTTTTTGATAATGATTGAAATAATATATATTTATTAACTATTATTAAAAAGTTATGTAAAAGATCGATGTAAAAGAAAAATCATATATTGTTATAAAGTACTTTATTCATTTAACAACAAAAAGCATTAATTTATAACACATATAAAGATTTGAGTGGTAACGACACTGAATAAGTACGTACTTATTCAAAAGATAAAACTTATTTTCAATATTATATAGGAACTTTATTTTATTCGGTGCATGCGGACCGACCCAAAAAAGGTGACGCATCTCTGGCTACCATTGTCACGTTTATTTTAGAACGAACCGACGTAACGCGCATTTTGTTTATTTTAAAGGTTCAATATGGTTAATGCTCAATATGGTGATTATATTGCTTCAAATATTTTTTTAAATTTGAAACTGTTATTAATGGAAATGCTGCGTTACTTGCCATAAATTGAAATATAAAATATAACACATTTTTCGCGATGTACCGTAAGATTTTATGATGTTTATAGGAACCACAGACAATATTATTTAAGATACAAAACAAAACATATGTGCTGACCTAGAAGTGTGAATAATATCAATATTTAAATATTGTTATCACATCTAAATTGAGATTTTGTAAGTTACGCCTTTTGACACTTGGCTCATATCTGAGGTCATTGTCCGTTTTTCTCAATGGATTTGGCACATACTATAGTTTTCTTAATTAGTGACACAGAACACAAATACCCTTAGGTGGTATCAGTGACGTCACGACATGATCTAATTTGGCGGACAGCGTTTTGCAGATTTGAGGCACAGACGAAAAAAATTCTTAAAATATTAATGTAAAATTTATAATACAATTTTATAAACAGAAATCAATATTTCTCGTGTACTTTTTACAAAATCTATCAAAAAAATATTTTTTTCGATTTTATTTTACATTGTATAAAATACCCATTTCTTTCGGGATCTTTTTAGATTTTTTCTTTACAATACGCTGATGCGCCACATTGTGAAGTTTTTGGGAGATTTTGACGATAGCTCAACCAAGTGGATAGTAGATGACGATAGTCACTCAAGTTCATAAAGCGCCTAAACGATCTAAATAACTTGAGGTTTATATCAACAATGTTTGCAATGAATTTAATAATACTTTTACTTCTAAAACATTCTCCTTGAACAATCGCAAGGCATTTAACGAATGGGCGACAGTAGGAGTCCATAAGAGTAGACAAAGGTTATATGAACTTTACAATGAAAGGTCATATAATCCGAGCGTCGGATTTAGGGAATATGTAAAAAATATTCCAAAATATTTAAAAGAGTATGCTCCTTAGCCAAGTCATTGTACTTGAGCAACAAAATAAAGACTGCTTCTAATAAAATTAAAATGACATGGAGTATAATTAATAGTGGAACTGGTAAGGTCAAGTCTCGCAATTCAAACTACCAGTTAAGTTTTAACAATAAATTAACTAAATCAGATCAGGATGTTGCAATGGTTTTTGAGAAATATTTTACTGATACTTAACCACTAAGTCACTGAATTCTTCTCCTGCCGTCGCCGAATCATTACTTAAACAAAATGTAAATGTGTGTACAAAGAATTTTACATTTCATAAAGTGTCATCAAAAGATATTGTAAAATATTTTAAGACTATTGATATTAAGAGAACCACAGATCTGTGTGG